AAGGGAGCCCGTTCTCAAGGAAAATGACAGACTAAGGGCCTCGCCACACCACAAACCCCACCCTGCACCCCTTTACCCCTTTCACTGACCGGGGAGGGACTGAAGTGGCCTGATTCAGAAGAAACTGGTGGGCCAAGGGGGCCCGTTCTCACGGAAAATGACAGACTAAGGGGCCTCGCCACACCACTGTCGAAACGAAAACAGAAGGAATGCAATCTGCCAAAGAAAGTGGTAAGATGCATCCATTGCTAATCATAGTAACGGACGGATGCATCTTGCCCTTCTGGGGGGGAAGATGCATTCGTTCGTTTTCCATTTGGACGGTGGTGTGGCGAGGCCCTAAGCCTCCCTCGGGCAATGAGAGGGCCCCTAGAGAAAGCAAACAGCCAGTGCCCAGCCAGGTGTTGGGGTGAGGCCCCACTGGACCTATGCAACCCCTTCAGCAAGAGGGGACTGAAATGCCCTGATTCAGAAAAAAATGGCCAAAGGAAGCTACCTTACCAGAGAGACCGGGACCGCTTGCCCAGCCCGGCCAAAAATGAATGCATTGTTATATCCTTATGCCGGATGGGAACCCTTTTCCCTGTTTTGGCCATGGGGCTTTGGTAAGTCTTGGATGTCTCGTGGAGTGGGTACTCTTGCTGATATTTGATATGGGATGTGGGTCTCGCGGATTGGAGACTGCTCCAAGCTTTGCAAACCTGGGTCGGATGGTTTGTGGCGTCAGCAATTGCACCTTATGATGCTTTCAACAAGCATTGGGTGGATGTTTTGAGAGGTGGCATTCTGTGTTTACTGTTGGATGCAAACCTGGGTCGGATGGTTTCACCACAAGCATTGGGTGGATGTTTTGAGAGGTGGCATTGTGTGTTTACTGTTGGATCCTCGTATAGATTGGCGGCGGATCAAAATCTGTCTCATCTTTCTGAAAGTGGAATCGGTTGTCCCCCCCCCCTTCTAGTCCGACTGCTTCTTGCTGGGAAGTTCCGAATGTGACCGGGGCCTTGGGTGAGTCCTTGCGGCCTATGTCCGTCCCTTTGCCCTTGCCGCAGCTTTTTTTTTTTTTTTTTTTTTTGGGGGGGGGGAAACAACCCGAACAGATGCTAGGGATGCTGGTAAGAGCAGGCACCACTAGCACTATCGGGGAGGCTCCATCTATTGGTGGGGAGCAGCACCTGCTGGAAAGCGGGTTGAGGATCTGTTGGCAGTTTGTGGGGGCCTTGGGTGAGCCCTTGCGGCCTATGTCCATCCCTTTGCCTTTGCCGCCGCTTGACGATCTGTTGCCAGTTTGTGTTCTGGAGTACGTGAAACAATTCCGCCCATTTGCTCTGTGGGTCCCTTCTCATTAGCTGCCTGTTGATCCTTGGAACTGGGAATGGGTTCACCCGCTCCGACATCAGGAGCGGGTGCCGCATTTTCATTATTCGGCCAGGCTGGGATATCTGCTCTCTTGCCCGTCTTGTGACACGTTTCTTGGCTCGTGGTCAAACATTGGCTGGCGTCTGGATGGATTGAGGACTCTGTGCTTCAACTTGCTCATGCTCTTCTCAGCCATTGGAAGCTGTTGATGGACCTGCCAGAAGTGAAACAATCGGGCGGGCTTGTTATGGCTGATTGTGCACCAAGCCCTGCTGGTTGCGGCCTGGTGTGCCCGGGGAGAACCTCGAGAGCTTCTCCTCTTTGTGCTATCTGCTCTGGGATTAGAATTGAAGATCTGCAGCATCTGTTTGCACTGTGATCTTCCGAAGGACTTCTGGAGATGGTGGAGAGAACTGCGGCTCCGATCCCCTTTTTGGCGGAGCATTGCACAGATGGCTTGCTTTATCTTGCTGGGTTCGGCGGGCCCTCGTATTCGGACCTCCTCATCCCCTCTTAGTCGTGCTGAGGAGATCTTGAGAGGAGCAATATTGTAGACATTGTGGACTCTTCGTAACATGGCCGTCAGGCGTGCAGGGCACTTTACTCCACCTACGGTGAGAGCCGAGGTAAAATTTGGGATCAAACAAGCTATTCTTACGGATCGGGCACCCAAAGTTCAGCAGAAAGGCTACTCATCTAAGTCTGTTAGGCGTTTTTCCGCTTGCTGGGCCCATTTTTCAAGATTAGTTACAATTTGTCGGCCCTCTGGCGGCCAACTGGAACTTTTATTTTCGTCGTTTTTCCTTCCTTTGATTGTGTGCTGCACTTTTGCTAGTCAGATTCGCTTGGTTGTCGAGTTAGCGTTTTGTTGCCTCTGCGGATCTTTTACCTCTGCGGTGGCATTGCATATTTGTGGTGAAACAGTTAACCAGGCTGTTTTCGTGCGGGTCTGGTGACCCGTGACAGGGTCTGTCCTGGCTGTTGCTCCGTCGGTGTTGCCTTGTCGCCTGGGTGTTGTATTGTACATAGGTGCAATCAGGGCCCTTGGTTTTCTTTGTTCTTCTTGTTGATCCATTGCACATGTAGAGTGTGGTTTTGTACATATGTACAGTATGCTTAATGGGGGTCTAGCTTGAATTCTGGCTCCGATTGGAGCTTGCTGCTGTAGGATGTGAGGCTTACATCAACTATAAAGTCTGTTTTCGTGTAAGCGACGCCGGACCCGGTTTCGGGCTGGTATAATTCATTGGTGGCCTCGGTGAGCACCGGGCACTGCACCGGGCTGGAGTGCCGGGACCACACCAGTAGGCTGCCACTTTGGAGGGGGGGGAAAAGAAAAAGAAGAACAGAAGGAAAAATTTTCGAAATGCCCCTGAAGTTTGCGTTTATTTGTGAGTTGTTCTTCCGATGGCCGACGTACCCTTATTTGCCCCTCTGACAGTGATTCAAGCTTCCAAAAAAACCCTGGCATTGTTTGGGCCTGAGACATTTTCAATATGCCCCTACCGGTACCGGTGCCGAATTTCAAGTTTGCCCCTACTGGATAGCAACTCAGTACAGGCACAAGAATTTTCCATATGCCCTTACCGGTACCGTGCATCTTTTCGGTATGCCCTTCTGGCCGTGGCCGTAGCGGCTGTTCCCCTGGCCCTGGG